TTTACGATTATTCTGAGAAATTCTCTTGAAACATTTATGGACTTCAAATATTGATTCTCATTACCTGATTCCTGCGTATAGGGTTTTAACTGAACCTTCATTTACTAGTTTCTACCAGAAACCTTAAATAAAAAATTTCATTGGCTACTTTGGTAAAACTGCCTATATGGCAAAGACAAAAGAGTTCAATGCCTTTTTCTTATCTTTTTTTAAACCGATTTTCTTATTATTCTTATTATTTTGGATAATTATACCTCGTAGCGAAAGTTCAAAAAAATCACAAGCTTCTAACCTCAAGAATTTTTTTCATTTAAATAAAATAAAAGCATAAATATACATAGATATACACATAATGAACAATAAAATTTGAATATTAATTAAAAGGAGCTAAGTTATGTTTATCATTATAATGTTGTAAAAAATAGGTTTCATTATATGAAGTATAAGAAAATATTTCTATACTTATACTCCAATTGTGATGTCGATTTACTTATATGTACATATATTTAAATAATAATTATAGCTGTATAGGAACTTCGATTTTAGCCACTGAATGTATCAAGATAAATGTAAGGATTTAAAAGATATTCTGTTAAAAACGACTTTAAAATTTTCTCTGCTGCGTGAAGGAATCTAAATCAACAAAAATAATATTATATGTGTTACCAATACAATAAACCTTTAAAGATTCATGGTCACTATGAGTTCCCGATATTTTATTGACACGATTTGGCATCATAGTCAAAATTACATGGGTCACCATACAAAGTTAAAAAAAAAACATAATATTTAATAAAATACTCGCGAAAAATATAAAATATCAACGTTTTCCTTTATTGTAGATCGCGTAAAAAGAAAATTACGGCAACCAAAGTTTTTCTTATTTTTGGAACAGGTTTTGTGTCATACAAAGATGATATATAGACGCATTCATCATTGCGACGAGAAGGCAAACTTGGGTTAAATTATATCAAACTTCTAAGTTACATTTTGAGTACGTTGATTAAGGTTGACACTTTACTTAATGTTGACAATTTAATTCATTGATGTATGGAAAACTTCAATATATGAATATGAAAAATGTGACTTTTTAAATAAAAGTTGGTATGAATGCTAATAAAACATATAGAGGCAATACATAGCGTTATTTTGTAATAAAATTGTACGATCAAAGTTGTATCGTAAATATTTTAGGATTTGTGTTAGAGGAATATTTGGAAAAATCATAAAAGTAAAATTTACAGTTTTCATCTGTTGAACGATGAACAAATAGTTCAATCGCAAAACATGAGAGAACAGTCGAATGGATATCTATAGAATTTTTTTAGAGGTCCGTAGTTTTTTTTACATTTATACACAGCACTATCTAGTTCCATGGTAAGCTACGAGGCTTGTGTTATGGATACCAGATAGTTGATACACTACATATATATTACTTTAAATACATATATATTATAAATATAAACACCCATGACTGGAATTCATTCATGCTCATCACATAAATGAATGTCCCTAGCGGGACTCGAACCCGCAACCGCTGGTACAATAAGTAGGGTCACTACAAACTGAGCCAAGCGTGTCGTCAAGTTATTCAGATTATTATTTAATTAGGAAGGTGATTTCAAATCACTTCAAATCCTAAATTTAATAATCTATAGAAGTTTCTGCGAAAACTCTTGGATACCACTTAGATGATTTTACAATCATTCAAGAGTTATGTACATATGAATATACCAAGTGGTAATGCGCTCGATTACAATAATACCAAGTTAACATCATTATCACTTACGCTGAAGGGAAACGTCATCTGCACGTCTGAGAAAACCTAATTAATTTTCGAAAGACTATCCTATATGAGGCCCAGCAGTGGGATGTTAATAGGGCTGAATATTTTTGATGCTTTATTTTACATCCTAGAAGAAGCTATAAACAGGGTCATTTTTAATTTACTGAAAACCTTTTGGGAATATACTATTTACATCATAACAACATCTGTAACAAGAAAAAAAATATATTTCTTAAATTTTTATTTTCATACAAAAATAAAAATATTTATTGCACCTTCTAAACGGTAAAGTTCTAGCATCTGGACAAGTTTAAATGAGTAAGGGCCACTTCCTACACCTCTTCCACCCCTCCCCCTCCACCGGTCACGCGCTTTCTTTTGCTAATTGCTGGACTATTACCGTGTAGAAGGAGCAATAAAAATATTTTTATTTTTGTAAAATTTAAGAAATATTTTTTTCTTACTTACAGATGTAGATGTTATGATGTAAACAGTATATTCCCAAAAGGTTTTCAGTAAATTAAAAATGACCCTGTATATCAAACTAACGCATGTAATGTTATTTACTGGTAAATAACAGAAACTGAATCCACTACCTCCAAAAAACATTTGATAACAACCATAAACGCCAGTTTTCATCGCAATAAATTCATAATATCTAAGTAGACTAAGGTCTTAAAAACACGAATTGTAAGAAAGTTATTCAAAAACTCAGCAAAGTTTTTTAACGCGAGCTAATAGGCTCTGACATTAATAATGATGTCTGCGTAAACTTGATCTCGTATTTTTCGCTTAAAAATATGAAAATGAAACTTTTGAATAAACTTGAGTAATTTACAAATGTCGGCCAAAATTAATAACAATATATATTCTTCGTTTTTTTGACTTCCTATAGCTAGAAAAACAGAATGAAAGTAAAAAAACAAGAAAAAGTTATACGGTCAGAAAAATTCTGTATAAAATTTATAAAGCAAATACATGAAAATATGCGTAATCTTTACATATAATAAAATTATAACTAAGTCGGATCTGTACATTAAATATTTTTTGGAAAATCTTATTGAAATAGACATTATTATCGATACAGAGGCCGTTTTGTTTTCACTTGTAACAAATCTTCCCTCACTACGATCAAATTCTGTTACCACCACTGTTATATTAAAATAGATCAATATGTTCAACCCCAACAAGTAGGTATTTTTTCCCGAGATAAATGATGACTAAAACTAAACTAAACTTTAACATCAGATGACTATGATCTTTTTGGCTGATGTCTCTATTCCTCTATCCGCAAATGTAAGTTTAGTTAAAATCGGTCTAGTTGTTCTAGATAAAGTTTAGGGGATAAAAACAGATAGACAAAAGTTGCGATTATAATTATAATGCAAAAAATAAATATTTAAGACTAAAATCCACTAAATGTATTAAAGTCACCAATTATTTCCTCAAAACAAGCTTTATCCTTTGGACAGAAAATGGGTTAGCTGCAAAAGCATGCCAATACCCAATCTTTTAGCGTTCCGTCCCAAAAATATTTTTTCATCTTCAAAAACATGTTTGCGTAAACAATCTGATTGATGTTATTGCTTCAGATTAAAGTGCCGTAAAGCAGAATTCATAACTTAATTCCTAGCTTAGAGTGTAGGAGGGTTGAAGTAAAGAGATGCTTATTGCTTTTAACTTTTCATCTTATTACTCTTCTTAACTTTTTAATGAAGTTATAAATCAATATTTTTTTACATTAAAATTGGTATATCGAATATGATTGTATTGATTGTATTCAGCTCTTTTAACGTCCCACTGCTGGGCACGAGCCTCCCTTCGACCAAGTTGATCAGGCCATAGTCCACCAAGCTGGTCAAGTGCGGGTTGGTGGACTTCACATGTCTTTCAAAAACTTGCTAGGTTCTCTCAGACAAAGGATTCGCACATGAAAATATCAGAATTACGAGACCCGGGATATGAAACCGTTTCACTGGGTTTCCCAAGCGAGCGCGTTACTACTGGGCTACCACTGCCTAATCGAATATAACAACCAAATTATTTTTAAAAAAGTGTAGAAAAATTTGGAAATACGAATAGATGTAAGCTATTATAGATTATAATTAAATACTTTAGCTACATGACCCTAAATATAAAACATATAAAGAATAAATTTAATCCGTATTTATAATATTTATCTGTATAAATATTATAAATGTTAAAATTTATGAGTATGGATGTTTATTACACTTTTACGTCAGAATGGCTGAACGGATCTAGATGAAATTTGGCACAGAGATAGATTATAGTCTAGAATAATACATAGGCTACTTTTTATCGCGGAAAAATGAACGTTTCCTGTGGGATAGGTTTGTTTTTTTTTCCTAGAGGTTAACCCGAACGAAGCAAGAGTGAGCCGCTAGTATATTGTATGTTATATAAATAAAGGGTTTTCTAAACACGAAACAGTAGTAGGAAATTTTTTATCTGAAAAAAGTTGAAGGCCTAAAGCTCGAGTTATAATTAATGTATACAAAACAAAACATCTTTAAAGCTCGTCCAATTTAAAGAATGGATAAAAATACGATTTGAATGAATATTTTGTTAAAACACGTGTTTCATGTAAATATGTAAATATTATGCAAAGGAGACTCTTTAGCGGTCTTTTTGAGGAGTGCTCTCGAAATTTACATTTTGATTTGCAAATGCATTTCACTGACTGGAGCTGTACATAAATATAACGTACATTTAAATGGAACAAATAAATATCGATATGATTTCTTTTATAATTTAGTAAGTTTTTGAATTTAGATTCTACCAGCATTTATGGCATAATGTGCAAGTGAAGAATGGCGAATTTTAACATTAAGCTTATTGTCATAGCACGACCAAAGTTCAGGACAAATGTCTGTATTTATAGTGCGTAATTAAACGCTGATCTCTGAACCGTGGCAGTTACGATAACATCTATTCGAAGAAGTAGTATATTGGAGAATGTCCTGAGTTTCTATCTTCTGATCTACTTAAGGAGATATTAGGCGGATGATAGGCGGAATTAAGTATTCGTTATCATTTATATAATTATATAAATAATCATTAATAGGTTTTATGTTAGTTTGTTTAAATATTTTTTACAACAAAAATATGTAAGCTTTAAACAATCTACTTCTTTCCAGGTTACTATGGATGAGCGCAAACACCGAGAGTCTTCTTACAATGATATAAACACAATATGACTAATACAAATGTGATGTCCACGCAGAAGCAATGCCAAGCCATTCTGACCAAACGCTTCAAAAATCCGACCAAATTCAAAATGAACAAATCGCTCATTACCATAATAACAGTGATCATCCTCGCTTTACTGCCTTATAGCTCAACTCTTAGCTTACCCAGTGGAGATCCTGCTCCCGGAAGATCTCCTGGTCCACCTACCTTTAAGAATGTCGATATTGATCACCTAGAGACTAATTTGGAAGTGCCAGATGAAACAGTTTACGACGAAGTGACGACGAATGATGAAATCTCCTCAACTGTGAGTGAGTCAAGTGTAAGTGAACTTACGGTGGGTGACGCGTGTTCGTTCGCGAGCATCCCAAGTGACAGCGACGGTATTGTGACGCTGAGTGAACGAAATAGTGACATCAATGTGACAATCAGTCATTCGGTCTTCGAAACGGATGAGCTGGTGAAGGGAGTGATATATGATGGTAAGTGTGTATTTATTTAATCGCACTTTAAAAAATGAGTGTAACAAAAATAATGCATATTATAATGTGTAGAAATTATGCGACATACGAGTTCTTTATACATAAATTCTATAAATGTTATATTTAAATTGGGTTTGAAATATTATTATTACAATTAATTGATGATTGTGAGCTTAATATTTATTTAATACTAACAACTCACCCACGCTTCGCTCGGGTTGGTCCCTAGGTACGTTTTAATTTATTGAGCGGAACACTAATTCTTTTTCTAGAATAAAAGTAGAGTAAATTAATTCTTATAACACCAGTTATCTGCCAGTGAAAGTCCCGTCAAAATCAGTCCAGCCGTTCTGGAGTTTAGCTGAAACAAACAGACATAGAGACGAAAATTATAAAAATTGAGTTTTTCATATAAGTACCGTATATAATTTCATATACATTTAGTAAAAAGCTGTTATTTTGACATTACAAACAGACACTTCAATTTTATTTATCTGTATAGATAAAGGATTTCTTAGAATTTTTGTTTATCCATCTACTTATTTGTGTCTGCATCTCTCGAGAACGTCTAGACTGGTTTTAATGGCACCTTTCTTTATTATAAGGTTAAAGGTTTGTTTTAATTGCATAGTTTTATTTTATTAGTTGAATGAAGCAATCGGCAAATCGGAGAACAAAAATTAAAATATTTATCTGTGCAAAATCTAAAATTCCAGTTTTTTTACTGAATTTTTTGATATTTTTACATATTATGTGTTTACATGAAGATTTTTGTGCAACTTATTTTCTATAACTCGCCAATAAACTGGAGCGCATTACATTCTCAATTGTTCAAACTGATAGCTACGATAATTGGTACTACACATATATTTTCTCGTTATCATTTCATTTTCTCGTTAGCATTATTGTAGCAGTAGTAGCTCAGTTGTAAAGGACTTGCTTGGAAAACCAAGTGAAGCGGGTTCAAATCTCGGGTCTCGCACCTCTGATATTTTCATGTGCGAATCATTTCCAACATGATTGCCCTTGCTAATGAGGTGAAGGAAAACATCGTTAGGAAACCTGTTTAACTAAGAGAATCTAGTAAGTTTTGGAAAGAATGTGGAGTTCGTGAACCTACCTTAGCGTGGTGGACTATGGCTTGATTTCCCTCGTATTGAAGGAAGGTCCGTGCCCAGCAGTAGGACGTTTAAAATGGCTAAAAACATACATGATATGTACATCATTACTCTAGCAAAGCTGACCTCCAAGGCCAGTTTACAATGAAATTTACAGTAAAGTGAGATAAAAAATTAAAAATAATAAAATAACTTGTTGTAAAATAGAACAGGTTTTTGTAAATTATGAGAACATTCTATCAATATATTTTCATGCTCGTTACTGAAACTGATTAATGTTGGAGTTAACCTGACGTTCATCTCGTATATTGCCTCTACTACATTTTCAGAAACATTCTTTTTGCATTTTTTTGGACTTTATTAATTTACCAAAATATTTAATAAAAAAATTAATATTAACGACTTATAATAAAATATTAATAAATGTGTATTATAACAAACTTTAAATATATGTTAATTTTTTCATTTATATTTTTATTTCTGTTATCAATAATGTGGTCAATATAAGTGTAATTTTTAACAAAGTTCAAAAATAGTGATTTTTTTATTCTATTGTCTATTGCAGCCTATCTCTCTTGTATCTCAAGATAAAAATCCCTTTAAGGCAGTGGTAGCCCAGTGGTAACGCGCTCGCTTGGGAAACCGAGTGAAGCGGGTTCAAATCCCGAGTCTCGCACCTCTGATATTTTCATGTGCGAATCATTTCCAACATGATTGCCACTTGTATAGGAAACTTGCATGTCTGAGAGAATCTAGCGAGTTGTCGAAAGGCATGTGCCTTCCGCTAACCCACTCTTGGCCTGCGTGGTGTACTATGGCCTGGTCCCCTTCGTACTGAACGGAGGTCCGTGGTCAACAGTGGGACGTTAAAAAGGGCTGAATACAAGTATCCCCTCACTTTTTTACGTATTAACACATTTGAACTATAAACCACTCTAGTTAGCTCCAAAAACACTTTAATTAACTCATTTAAATATATTTAAAACTGGCAACTTACACTCGCTTCGCTCGGTGCGTCCCTTGTAGGTACGCGGATTTTGTTCACAATTCCATGAGTTTTTCTTGCGTGTAACCTATTTTTTTTTCTAAAATAACATCAGCTATCTGTCAAAACAAACAGACAGACAGACAAAAATTAAAAAAATGTTTTTTTCTTTTAACCGTACATACATACAACACACATTTTATACAAAAAAGCTCGTCTTTCGACATTACAAACAGACACTTCTATTTTATTTATATGTATAGATAATGACGTAAATGTTATTTGTAAGGGTCAAAAATGTATATTTTGGTAAAAAGTCTATTCAATTTGAAAATTAATTAAAAGTTTGTGATTACCTCGTTATATTACTTGAGTTTAACTTGAAGAAGTTAAACATATTCTAATAGCAACTTTGATATTAAATTTCTATTAATATTATGACAAATATTGAGTATCGAATAGTCTTTACCTAACTCTGAATTAAAAAGGCAGTGGTAGCCCGCCCAGTGGTAACGCGCTTGCTAGGGAAACCAAATTAAGAGGGTTAAAATATCGGGTCTTGCACCAATATGTAAAACCTACGAATTTGGTTTTTGGTAATCTGACCGCGGGCGGAGCCGCGGGCAATGCTAGTATATAATAAATACATATATAGCGAATGGTCTCATTTAGACTGCCATTACTAGGAGTGATGTCGTACATACTTGAATATTGCTTTTCCAGACAACGATTATTTTCCATTCAGTTACGTGACTTTGAACCTTTGTAAATTTGTTTTTGGCGTGATTTTGTTAGCATAGTTATCGTATTTTTACATCTTTTAATTTAAAATATTTGTATTTATTATAAAGAATTAAAATAAATAAATAAATTAAAGAGGCAATAATAATGTGTTAAATAATAATTATTTATTAATTTGATTTATATAAACACGATGGCATTGATGGCAACTTTTTTTTATTATTATTAAAAATGTATGTGACACAACTGTCATAATAATAATAATAATGAACACTTTATTGCACACCACACAAGAAAATAAATAAAGAAGTGAAATACATAACAATAAAAAGATGCACAGCAGGCGGCCTTATCGCTAGAAGCGATCTCTTCCAGGCAACCTTAGGGTAGAGGAATTAGTATATAAAAATGGTAGGCGGTGTACTTGTATAAATACATACTTATACACATACATATATACATACATACATACATACATACATACACACATAAATACATATAATATACTTATAATATCAATTATATTGTACATAATATATTATAGTAAGACAAACTAAAGAGATAAATAATGCATTTTTAACATCGTCTTAAACTTGTCCAAATTATCAGCCCGTCTGATGTGTACTGGTAAAGAGTTCCATAGACGTGCAGCTTTCACAGAAAAGGAGTTGGTAAGAAAACAAGAGGAGTGAGAAGGAATTTTGAGGATAAGCGTTTCACTAGAACGCAAGGAACGAGTATGAGAATTCCTTAGAAGCTCGAAACGCTCTTTGAGATAGGAGGATTAAACATCACGCAGTAGAGGAGATGAAGTATGTGAGTATTCCTGCGAAAGCGGATTGGGAGCCACTTGAGCTTTTTACGAAAGTGAGAAACGTGGTCATATTTACGGAGACCGAATATGAACCGTATGCAAAGATTTTGAAGGCGCTCAAGTCGATTCAGGTGCTCCTCTTTAAGGTCAAGAAAACAAATATCAGCATAATCAAGTATTGGTAATAAAAGTGAATTTGCCAGCGCAATTTTAGTAGGTATAGGCAGAAAATTTCTCAACCTGCGAAGGGAGGAAACAGCTCCAAACATCTTGCGGCTCAGTACACTTACCTGTGGCCCCCAGGATAAATGCTGGTCAAAAATGATTCCTAGGTTTTTTACTGTTTCGGTAAAAGGAATTTCAACATCGTTTAACATCACCGATGGTATCAATTACCGAGTAATTTTTGAATGCAGTTTCTGGCTGCCTATTATAATAGCTTGCGATTTAATAGGGTTAATATCAAGGCCATATGATTTACTCCAAGCAGAGATTCTGGCGAGATCATTATTCATTAAATTAACTGTATCAGGTAAGTCTGATAGAGATGTGGTTGCGTAAATTTGTAGGTCGTCGGCATATAGGTGGTAGAGAGAAGAAATTTGATGGCAAATAGAATTAATGAAAATTGAAAACAGGAGAGGAGACAACACGCCACCTTGTGGGACACCGGCATTAATCGTATTTCAATCAGAAAAGGAATCCTTAATTCGTATACGCTGCCGGCGGCCACACAAGTAACTACGAAACCAGTCAATCACCTCAGGAGATATGTTAAGAGAAGTTAATATGGCAATTAGTATATCAAAATCAACAGTGTTGAAGGCATTACTGAAGTCTAATAGTACCATCACGGTAACCTTCTGACTGTCCATACACTCTCTAATATCATCAGCGATTTTGACCAATGCAGTAGTCGTACTATGACCGATGCGGAAACCGGATTGAAAGGAGTTTAATAGATTATTATTAAAAAGTATATTGACTTTATTTAAATTAATATTGACAGGGTGTGAATACGAGTAACGGTCCGGTGTGTTATTTCAGTATTGTAAATTAAAATTATTTAAATACATAAATAAACGAATGTAATAATTGGATATTTCATTTTAAGTGCTATGCTAATATTTTAAAAAGAAAACAAAATTATGATTTAGTTATCTATACATATAATAAAATTGTAGCTAAGCCGAATCTGTACATTAAATATTTTTTGGAAAATCTTATTGAAATAGACATTATTATCGATACAGAGGCTGAATCTATAGTTTTTAGAATTTTTGTCTGTCTGTTACCGCATCACAGAAAAACCACTGGAGGGATTTTGATAAAATTTGGTGTGGTGATAGCTGGTTATCC